GGAGGAAGGGCAGACAAGGGTGGAAATGAAGGAGCTCAGAAAATGATGAATAGGAGGAGGAGGAGGAAGGGACGTACAGATAGAAAAATAAGGGACAAAAATCGATCGGTGGCAGTGGGAGGGGTGCACGTATGGAGGATGAAGGGTGGGGGGGTGAGGAGGAGAGGGAGAGATGGAGGCGGGCCAGATAGGTCCCATGGGTCAGATTTCCTGCTCCTCTCCGGTAGGGTAGTCTGACAGACGACTCTGTGGATCCTATGTGCATGTTAATTACAGAGAGAGAAAGAGAGAGTAAGTCTGTCAAGGAGAAAGCACAAAGGAAGCTCAGGTGCTTCCCTAGTCAAAACAAGTCAATGGCCTCACCCGCCACGGGTCTTTCATTACAGCCTCAGTGTCTAACCTACTTTACAGAACAGCCAGCCTGCATACGTTCACAATCACACAGACAGATAAACATGTTGTCTCTTTGCTTCTGTAGTGTGTTCATGGTAAAGAAGGAACATGTCAGACAGAATCACTGATGCATTTTGGGTGACTTTATCGTTTTTGGACAACAACGGAGCTCTATGGCACAGGTCGTTCTGATTGGTTGTTTCTTGATGTTTGTTGACAATGAGGCAGTAGAGGATGTCACGAGACCTCATCCTATAGGTGCTGGAGCTGAACATGGTACATGTGTACTGTATACAGCCATAAGTGACAGAGGTGGTAGAGAAACAGACCTTCACTGCTTGAGGACATTTCTCTTGTAGTTAAATTTTGCTTCACCTTACAGAGACCGTCGACAGCACAACTGGGATAATGGGCTCTTTTTTTTCTCCCTTGCTTCTGTACTGAACCCCCCCCCAAGCTCCAGCCAAGCTTCCCCAGACTGTGGCAGTGTGCTGCCTCTAAATTAGTTTAGCCTTTATTAGTCTGTCAAAGAGAGAGGAAAAAACAAAACATTGTTTCCACTAGTAGCAGGCGGAGATATTATTCATCTATAATTGGTAATAACCCCGTACCCCCACCCTGAGGCGGCTCAATCTCCACTGAGTAATCACTGCCATCGCTCGCTCCGCTGGAAACGGCGTTATTAGGTCGGTGGCACTGCCTGCCAAGGTTTATTATCTGACAATATATGGCTTTGCTCGTGCGCTTCTTTTAACAGCACATGCTGTGGAGGGAGAGTCGGGGCCGTTGAGCATATTCATCTCACATCCCCAACTATTGTCAAATATCCTCCGGAATGAGCTCCGGTGGGATCATTGAGGCTTTATCCGGTTTTCATTATCCGACAGCGAGGTTTGCTCTGTTGTGTAAAACACCTTTCACTTTTAACTCTCGCCTCGACTATTCCCCCAAGTTCAAAAGGACTGCCTTTTTACATGTATATAAACTAGTGCTGGGTGTTGGTGCTCGACCAAAATAACCCAGTACCAAGAGCTATCGAAACTCCTCCAGTCACAGATCTTGGCAGCTCGAGATGCCACCAAAACGTTGGAAAGTATGGCTACACCACACGGCTTATGATGAGAATATATTTGTGGTGGCAGTTTACGCAACGGAACGCTTCCATTCACATGACGTGTATCGAATGAAGTAAAAAAAAAAAAAAAAAAAAAAAAAAAAAAAAAAAAAAAAAAAAAAAGAAGTGTATCAAATTAAGTTCTTTATTGGCATCGGTATCACATTAAGGGTAGCGGTATTATCGTCCTTTTGTGACGCTACCCAGCCTTAGTAAAAATGCAGAATTTGGTTGATTAAGTAATTAATACTTTCATTTAATTTCATTGAAAACCGTCCATTATAATTTCACAGAGCCAATGGTGACGTACTAATTAATGTTTTGATTAATCGCTCAGACAAATGTCAGTACATAAAGCTCCCACAGCCTCAGGAGACAAAGTCAAATAGCTTGTTTAATCAAACCAAATACAGAGAATGTTTGACTAAATTGTTTTTGTCAATCTACTCATCAAGTCATTGTCTGAGCTGTAGAATTGTCTTGAGTAATATTGTGAGAAACTGCAGCTTCCCTCATACGCTGTTGGTTTGTGAATGCAATGCTGTCCTGGAGTCTCTTCTCAAGTGTCAGATTACGGAGCTCAGACAACCGCAAATACACACCTCTAAGCTCAGATCAACTAATTATGCCATCACCTGCGACTTCACCTCGATTGATTTTCATCATCCATTCATGCCATATTGTCTACCAGCATACAAACAGTCCCGTCATTCCCGCTCTACTTTCTCCTTCCTAACAGGACACATTAAGATATTTGTGAAGCAACAATGAGACCGCGAGACAGAGGGGATCTAGCAACCGAAGTGAAAGTGACCTTGCCGCTGCTCAGAGCAGACTAATATTTCATCAGCTAGCACTCACAGCTATACTCAGGTTCCCACATCTGCCGTGCTTCATCCCTCTGAGGAAGTGTCGGGGGAGGGAGGGAGGGAAGGAAGAAAGGGGGAAATAAAAGACAGAGGGAAGGAAAAACAACAAAGTCTCATGTGGGGTTTTCTCAAGAGCGGAGCTTGACTTTGAACAGAATAAGCACATAAAAAGAGAGAACGTAATGATATTGTGAGGGGGGGAGGGGGGGGGAATAGAGTGATGGGAAGAAATGATACAACTGTAACGGTAAAACCACCTACTGAATTCTGTATTTTAGTTTGCCACAGCAGCTCGGGACTACCCTGAGGCGAGAGTGTCAACTTATGAATCACTAACACGGGACACACATCAACACAGTGCGCTCTCTCTCTCTCTCCCCCTCTCTCTCCCTCTCCAGCGGCAGGCGCTCAAAAAATAGGAATAAAAGTGAATTGTACAAAGCTCAGCAGGAAAGGAAGTGGCATCATGTGCTCAGGATGATGTTAGCCGACCGCAGGAGAAGTGAAACCGTACCAGCGGATACTCTCAACATGTCAATCCATTCAGCATTTCAGACAAAGTCGCTCACTTCTCTAACTCAAGGTTGCACTGACATCAGAGACACTAACCACAAGCAACGGCAGCGTTGCCAACTGGTGTTGTTAGTCTGACTTGTTGCTGAGCAAACAGTCTATGAAAGATATGTGTGTGTGTGTGTGTGTCTGGATGATTTTAACTCCATGAGATCATAGTGATCGATGCGCTGCGTTGACAACAGCGGTGGTAAAAATATTTATGAGTGGTCGGGATCAAAAACTAGATGAACCATTAGACCAGATCCTCACCCTGAATGCTGGATTCTCACTCTACACACTGCTGTTTAGGTTACGGGACAATTCATACCAACACATTCTCACATTATCTGAAGCTGAACTTTGTGGTTGCTTGTAAACCAATGCACAGAAAGGACACATTCGAATTGTTGCGGTCATGGTGGCACTACATGGGACAAGTCACCAAAGTCATTGGGATTCACCCTCTGGGGAATGTGAGCGTCGGGCACCAACTTTCATAGTGATCCATCCGGGACGTGTTGAAACATTCTATGCTGAACCAAACTGGGGGGGGGTTGACAGACGGACAGCACAACGTTGCCCAAGAAATTATGTTAGCGTGGCTAAAAACATACACAGGAGTGAATTTATGAGACCAGACCTCCAGGAGCTGGTGGGAAGGATGCTGCAGCATCCCTTCAACTACCGACATCAATATGTTGCATGATTTGGCCTTCACTATCCTGTCACCGGATTCCAAACCCACACCCCACTCTCCTGTGTGTTATCTCCACAGTCCACCGCTGAAATAAATGAACAGATTCTAGGTCTGCCACTGCGTCTGCCCAATGAGATTTTTCATCTCGGTGTGTCAGTTTCCATAGGATCGAACTTCGACCTGGCGTTATGCAGCGCTGCAGCAAATATAACCAGCCCCTCCCCTCACCCCCCTGTCCTTCATGCCATCAAATGGCCGGCACAAAGGAAAAGAGCTGACCTCAACTGTACAGGAGGTGTTTGCGAGGGCGCGTGCACAAACACACACTGGGATTGTCGGTACCAGGACAGCCCTCTTTCCAGCTAAACCCAGAAAAAAAAAGGAGCTTTCATCTGCATGCAGCTGCCTTGGTGAAGAACATAAGAGAGGAGAGGAGGGAAAATAATGTACACATAGTGGAAGAAGAGGGGAAAAGCAACAAAGCACAGAGCCAATCAACTGACCAGAGCAAAATAAAGGGCTATCTGTGAAAGCCCAGGACCTCATCCCACCCCGTGATGAGAGAACTTCGATCCCTAGGCAGTCCGGCTGCAAACAGCCACAAAGCCCTGATGCAGCCCGTTAAGCTCCCACTTCGATCCAGCCCATTGAGCTCCGTGCTGCTGATCAATTAGAGAACAGCTGAACCAGCTGCTGACCACACAAAGATTTTGTTTTTAAGCACAGATGGGTTTTTTTAATAGCACGAGTATGCTGCCTGTTATCTAGGTCTGTTATATCTAATCTTTAGTCTTTTCTCCTCCGCTGGTCAAAGGGTCAACCCCAATTCTGTGTCATGTCACAATCTCACGGAGGCCGATGCAGTCAAAATGCTAGCGTGCTGGCTTATCTGACCCACAAGTCTCAACATGTAGGATGGAATAAAATCTACGCTCTGGATGTTCTTTTGTCCATGAGACGACTGTATCTCCAATGAGACAGTGTCACTGGAGGCCAGGCAGAGCTGACCAACTGGCCTGTGATCGGGGCTCAACTATAAGGATTGCCCGGGGCAAGTTAAGACGTGTCCCACGTCGGGACTAGTGTATCTAGCAACTCACTGGCCCAGTAAAACAATAAAACACTATTTCTTCTGTAGCTAAGGAGTGAGCCATGTGCTTCCTTTACCATGAATAAACATGAAGATCAAACATGGCAATTAACTTGAGTCATTTTGTTAACCACTAATAAATGAAACCATTTGTATAGGGGCAAGTCGAAATTGACTTCTGACCCACTTTCCCGATTAAGCACCCAGCATCATACCACAAGCACCGAAACACACTTCTCTCTGTTCGTGTTGTGTGTGTGTGTGTGTGTGTGAGAGACTCACCCATCCTCCCTGGTTCTGGATCCAGGGCTGAATGTGGTTGTCCAGGTAGACCGTCATCCACTCGATGATGCGGCCCACCAGCGGACTCATCTCCTTCTCCATGCACTCCACGCACAGCGCCCCGCCGAAGGCGAAGAGGCCCACGATGCGGCCCCAGTTGACCCCGTCCCGGAACACCTCGTCCATCACGTTCTCGAAGCTCTGGTAGGCCGTGGCCGGCGTGATGTGCAGCTGGTTGTGCAGATCGCTGAAGGCCCGAGCGTATCGCAGCTCGAACTCGTTGGCCGAGTCCCGGAGGGCCTCCTTCACCGCGTCCAGGCTCGTCGTCGACGGCAACCGTTGATGTCGTAGCGGGGACGCCGGCGGGGTCCCGGGACTCGTGCCATTGAAAGCCCCGTTGGCGTGCGTCGCTACCTGCTGTTCCTCACCCGAACCTGCTTCCCCCCCGTCAGTCCTGTTGGGAGGCTGTGAGAGCCCCATGTGGTTGAGGGGATAGTTCCTCTGGGAGAGTTTATAGTTTATGTAGAAGACCACCAGTTCTCTGTTCTGAGACATGTTGCCTTTCAAGATGCGTTTTGCTTTTGGTCGCGCCGGTCCGTCTCTGCTCCTCTCTTGGTCGAGCCTCGCTGTGTTAAGAGTGAACACACGCTGTGCCAGGCTTCTCACCTGCTCAGACCACCATGGTCAGCTGATATCCAGAGGACACTTGGGGGGTGAAAACCAAAACCTACACAAGGCTGACAAATCAGCTCAGGCCCTGTAGAGAGACAACAATGAAAGGTCAAAGTCTGGATAGCCTATAAGCACAGTGTCATTACATGTGTGTGTGAGAGAGAAAAGAGGAGTGCGTGGGGATGGCTGTAGACTTTCAAATAAAATTTGGACAGGTAGGGTCAAAGTGCATCTCCCTAATTGGGCTGTTACATATGGAACAGATGGCAATGATATTAATGAGACAATCGTAGAGCAAATGCGTGTGTCAGAGAGAGAGAGAGAGAGAGAGAGAGAGAGAGAGAGAGAGAGAGAG